TTGGAATGAATATGCTGCGCCTCCGATAAGGGAAAAAGTGAGGGAAATAAGTCGCTTGGATTGCGACTTGGTGGTTTTTGTTTTTTTTTTTTCCCTATCGACGTCTTTGCTTCCATCGAATTCGCAGTCATATTCAAACTTCCTCTTGCTCATATCCGAAATTGTATCCCCAAACCAAAAACCAGGTCACAGATTGGGTGGATTTATGGGCAGTGCAAACGTACAGATCGACAATCTCTCCCTTTTCGTTCTCCATTTTGGCGGTTTGTTAGTCTGGTTGACGACGGTGAAAAATTGGAGGTGCGCTGGCGGGTTGAACGGTCGTGAAATTCCGCGACTCTTTTGGGCGTTTCCTTAGTCGACGGTTGTGTGGGTCATGTGATCTTTTGTCGAGGGTTGATTTTGCTTGTGTGGCTGTGGCTGCGTGGCTGGTGGGGCTTGATGGCTATAGGGTTACCTGTTTGGGGTTGGTGCAGTACCGGTTCGACTGGTGTATTGTGTAATTTATCGCTATCTTCAAAGTATTTATGAAGGGTTGTATGATGCATATATAGGGTATGTATGTACATAGATACCGTCGAGCTTTATCAATCAATCATAAACTGCTTCGCTCTTTATCCTCTGAGAACACGTCTTTCTTCCACCGCACCTCCACTTGTCGGGCTGTCCCCTTTGCGAACTTCACCAGTACAACCCTGTCGGGCTCGCCCTGTCTATCCGTACCTTTCAGTTCTGGCCCTGGATGATCTAATGCAAGAACTGTTCGCCCATCGGACGACATTTTGAGCATTTTGGGGGATATGCACTTCTCTGTCCATGGAGGATTACCCGTGTGGATAAAATCAACTAGCTCTGCCCGTCGTTTTCTTAACTCGTCCGCGGAATTGCCTGTTCGAGGCGCTTGATCTAGGAACTGCGACACCAGATGCAATAAGACAATTTGTGGTGGGAACATAATGACTTCCCCACTGCCTGCCAGCCGTAGCCATTCAGATGCAGGTAGAAACCTAGCTTCGGTGACTTCAATACCGCCGTCACTGGTAGGGATCTGGATTTCCTCCCGCTCTCCTTCGGCGGGAAGTTCGCTGAGGAGCGACTTGTCCGACTCAAAAGGCAAGGGCAAAAAGTACAAATACATCTGAGTAGAGTATCGCTTTGGCACATTTGTAGGAGTAATCCATCGTGTGAACGGAATCAATTGCTCTTTAGGACGAATGGTTAGCAGGGGCTAGGGCTATACCACAGTGGGTATTTGAGTCTGGTTGGCATTCGAACCTGTGTCTGGGACTGCGGCAGGATTCTGTTGCTTCAGCCACTCGGTGAAAGTCACTTCGTTGCGATGAATTTTCTTTCTGCCTTCTTCTCTTTTCGGTTCCGGGGCTACTAGCATCTTCCCGGATTTCTGATCCTTGGCGAGGAGGATACCACTTTCTTCGAAGAGCTCTCGGACAGCGGCATTCCTATACCAGATGGCATCATCATGCCTTTTCGGATCCCCGACTGGTGGGCACTTTCCATCCTGATCAGATAGGTTGCCCCCCGGAAAGACATGAGCCGATGCAAATGACGTAGACGTTTTGACGCGATGAAGCAAAAGTACTTCGTTTTTAGGTGAGATTAGTACTATACTAGGTTTCATTAGCTAACCCCTCGCAAAGACATAGTTACATATAGCGACATCCAGATGCATGGGCGTCCTGACGGTTCTATACTGAAATACTCTGGTGATGATAGATAGAACGGCTAACCAACCTTGAACTTGGCCTTGCGATTGACGGTTGTGGCTTCGGCTTGGGACCATCCTTCTGCGATGCCATTGTTCCAGACGCGGAGGTGCTTTGAGCTGTTGCAATGGATGAATTCTCTCTTACAGCATGTTCTTTGATATAATGGGGATTTGTAGGCCGGCGGTGTATAAACAGTAATGGGGTTCGAGCAAGGGTCAGCCGATAATGGAGACACTTGTGTATTAACCGGGGCATTGACACATGAGGAGTCATGGCTGAAGCAGCCGAGGTGTACCGGAAGAGCTTCCTTTTCAAAGAAGGGACGTGAATAATGATTGAGTATTACCGTAGTACCACCATATCGTACTATTAGTACCTGACTGGCCACTAGGGAGTAGTATGTGCTAACATTGAGGAGTTCCCGGGACTGGAACCTAGGCTCATGCATTGCCGTGCAGGTCAGGTTTACCCCGCCCGTAACGCGGTCGCTTCAGGCTTAGACGATCGCCAGTCTCCGAGAACCTTACGACTCTACTCTTACAACTTCCACCACTGGGGGTCAAATACTAGTACTACGCCTACAAAAGGATTTCAAGAACAAGAACGTAGATGTTTCATCAACATGGAATACAACCGACTCCATTATGAATTGAATTGGTGAATGGAATGATCTTGACCAACAAGAAAAGCAATATCCACGCATCTAACTCCAGAACCTCATACCCAGACTTTTTTCCATTTATTGTGTTTCATGCAAGCCATGCGACATCATGCAAATATATCCCGAATATCAGGATAGCTCATAACGAGAATATTAAACGTGGGCGTTCGCGATTTAAGAGTAGAGCTTCTTATCGAAGCTGTGCAGACCGTGGACGTTACCCTCGGCCATGGCACTGGCGCTTCTCATTTCGAATCGGACGGTACCATTGTTAACACCCTCATGGAGAGCGTCGAGACTCTGCACACCGATATCCTGCAGAGAGTGCTGCACACCGGCAACAAGGTAAGGAACGAACTTGGTGACAGAGCCACGGTCAAGGACAGAGCCCGCAACACCCTGAGCAACAAGGACGCGGTCCTTCTCAGAGAAGTAACGGGCAGTACCGGCGTTGCTAGCCTTGCTGTCCTTAGAGCCGGCGCCGGCCTTCTTGTCCTCCATGGCAGCGATACTGCCCATACCACGGTAGGCCTTGACAAGCTGGCCCTCGTTGCTGACGAAGTACTCGCCGGGAGACTCAGTGGTACCGGCAAGGAGACCACCCATCATGACAGTCGAGGCGCCCATGGCAAGACCCTTGACAATGTGGCCAACATTCTGAACACCACCATCAGCGATAGTGGGAACACCGAAGCGAGCAGCGAAAGAAGAAACGCTGCGGACGGAGATAGCCTGAGGACGACCGACGGCCATGACTTCCTGGGTAATACAAGCACTGCCGCTACCCATGCCAATTCTCAGGCCATCGGCACCGGCTGCAATCAGAGGTGCAGCTTGCTCCCGAGTCACAACATTACCAGCAATGACGTCAATATCGGGGTGAGTCTTCTTGATGTACTTGATCATCTCGATCTGGTACATACTGTTGCCCTGGCTGCTATCCAGAACAACAATGTCAAGGCCAGCATCAACAAGCAGTTGAAGTCTGCGCTTATCTTCCTCACGAGTACCGATAGCAGCAGCGCAGATCAGTTGCTTAGACTGAGGAAGTTTAGACGCGAGAGGGTAGTGAAGATTCTTCATCAAATCACTGCGAGACAGCAGAGAGACCAGGTTACCATCCTTGTCCACAATGGGCAGCTTTCCCTTCTTCGAGGAACGGAGGACTTCGTTGGCCTCGGCGAGGGTGGTACCAGCAGGGGCGGTGACAAGGTCAGTGGACATGATAGCAGTGACTGGGTCGTCGAGGTTGGGGTGGAACTGAATGTCCCGGGAGGTGACAATTCCAACAAGTTTAGACCGAAGGTTTCCGCTTTCTGTAGACACGTCCAAGTTAGACAGTGTTATTTTCACACAAGTTTCATAACGACTCGGGAAAATATGAACATCAGATAAATCTGTTTCTCTACAACGCAACTCTCGTCGCTCCAGTGGAACGAAAGTTATAATGAAGATAGACGAAAATCATCACACGAAATATTCTAGGGCGGGTGAAGACGATAAAAAGAAAATTAGATGCTTACCGGTAACTGGGAAGCCACCGAATCCCCACGTGCTCTTGAGCTCCTTGGCTTCTCCGACAGTAGCCTTAGGAGAAAGAACAACGGGGTCCAAGATGAAACCGTTCTCATAACGCTTCACCTTCCTCACCATCTCCGCCTGGTCTTCAGGCGAGCAGTTGTGGTGAATTATACCCAGGCCACCCAGAAGAGCCATGTGGATCGCCATGTTGTGTTCGGTGACGGTATCCATAGGAGAAGAGAGAAGAGGGGCCTTCAGGGAAACACGCTTGGTGACCGGGGTGTCCAAAGTGACATCTGACGCAGGGAAGCCTGTCATAGACATGAATAACTGCAAGTTATGGACGGTTCAGAAATCGTCCTTACCGATGTAACCAGGCAAGATAAGGAAGTCATTGTAAGTCAATGCTCCGTGCTTATCCGAATCGAGCAAGGTATCAACATCAAGACCATCTCTGGAGGTATAATCCTTCTCCAGAACTTCGAGGGCCTTGGTGTGGTCCTGGATCTCAGCCTTCATGGCCCGGCCAAGTGCATCACCGTTAGAGATGGGCATTTTGAAAGAAATAAGACTCTACGGTTTGAATGATAACACGTAGAGATCAAATAGAGATAAAAGATAATCAACAGATCGTGACAAACGTTCTGTTGATGGAGAAAGTCTTCCTTTCCCAAAGGAAAGAAAGAAGAAAAAAAGAAGAAAAACTGGAGGAGCAAAAAATTGGCTTTTGTATCCTTGCCGCACAAGCTAACGATTCTTTCAGAAAATTCCGGAACAGGTTTAGCTGATCCACCCGACCCTTTTGCCATCAGACTGATTGGCTGATAAACGAAATCTCTTCTAAGGCGGTGAGAGGAGGGGTGGCATTAGATCTGCTGAGGTAAGTTGTACTAATCACTGAATTTTCTTGCCATTGTCCCAGAGGGGCATAGATCGTGTGTGTCGCGTGCGAGTCACGGGTGTGAAGAGCCATCATTAGCTGCATCTAAATAAGACAGATAAGAGTCGAGCTGGTTCTCTAGCACTAGTGAACGGTTCCTGTTTAGAAACTTTACAACTTTTCCTTTCCGGAACGGGACTAGCTCAGGGCCGCTTTTTACTCAGTGATTACTCCCGGAATATACATGTGCTGAGCACTCCCCAGAGTATTGAATCAGTGCGCCAGAGCGATCCGGGATCAATTTCGGAGCCAACCTATATAATTGCTTAGCTAAGCCAACTACTTCAGATACTTAACGTAACCGGTAAGCGATCCGCACCTGTAAGCGACCCGCACCCCAACCGCCATATGCAAAATTGAAATAGTCAAAAAATCATCAATTTTGATTTCTATATAAAGCTGAATAGTCCTATTGATTCGGGTAGTGTATAATTTTATAGCCCTGCCTATCATAGCCAGAATATTTAGATAAGGTATACCTGGGAGCCGATTCAGTAGACAGAATCCTATCTGTCTGTATAGCTTTTTCTTAGTATCTAAACTATTCACTGCCATACAACCAGACACCATCTTTATTGCACCATTTTTGCAACTGGACGCACCTTCAATATTTCACACTCCTGACGAGTACAAATGGAATCTCCTCTAGTAAACTCTTGTTTTGGGATTGGTCTTCCCTTCTATCTATAAGATTTACCTGTCCTATCTCCCGTGAGTATAGCCAATTCCAAGAATCAACAGGCTTTCGATGCTATCTGTGCTCTCGGAACCCGCTCCCAGGCATCCTAAGAAGAGGTTGAGAAGGTGTGTTGCCTCGCTGCTGGCCCTGTGGACTTTGTAATTCTTTTAGAATAACCTGCGCCTAACCATGATTATGCTGATGACTTTGAGAAGTTCGTTCGATACTGCCAGACCTTACAAGCTGTAGACGAGCAAGTCAAGTTTCCTACATTGGAGCGCGGAGTATTCATACTACTTCTATACTTGATACATTCTTACTTAAGCCCGTATCTACACAAGCTCTTCCAACTGACTCGCAGATCTTGAAAATCAAACAACCACGAGTCACCATATGCTGTTGGATTGGCGAATGCCAGAACAGAAATCTCTCCCAATTCCAATCAAGGGGTATTGGTTTACTTGCGATGCGTTCCATTGTACGGCTGAATAGGAAAGATCACAGTTTATCACTCTTTCTACCCTGCAACAGCTATTTGTTACAGTTAATACCAGCCTACTTTATATATTCTCCTCGCTTCTCACTTCGCTGCCGCCTTTTTGAAGCTACGGCACTCTCAGAAGCTTCGAGAATAGGCCCTTGATATATCAAAGGAGGCCGCCAATCCCCCCACATGGAACGAAAATCTATCATTTAAAACTACCGAATACTTTCTTCGCCGTGCGCTGCTAATAATTCTTGGCTTTGAGAAAATCGATTCTGTCCGTATTTGAACTAGAACAACAGTTTCCTGAGTCTGGAGAGTCGATATCTCTACTCTTGTCGGTTATCTATTAACCATATCATACTAAAACGGGGCACTTCTGGTAGTAAGGGCCACGTTGCTGTGGTAGAAATACTTTTCCAAGACTCTAGAATTTTAGAAATAGCTTTCGTAGCTTCTTGATCTTAGGAATTAACATAGTATCTTCTACCCTAGCTTATCCAACTTTAGTACAACAGAGTTTAAGAAAACTTTACTATTTTTTAAAAATTGATGAGCCAGTAATACTGCCAGTCTATTCAAACAATTAGGCTAAGAAAATTTTACAGGAAACACGTCTTTAGTTTGATAGTAGAGAACTGAGAGCTATCTATCGAAATCCATCGACTTATTTGTATATTTTTAAAAGAACCTAGAATTGCTAGAGCGCATAGCCTGCCTACTTTGGCCTGCTCTACGGGATAAAAATTAGGAATTTCCGTGGAAATATATCGAAAATCTCGAAAAAACTGTTAATTTTATAAACGCAATACTTGCCTATCTAGACGGGATTTCTAGATAATTCGATCGCGAGGAGCAGCTATTTTATTTAATTATGGATCTACCCTGCAGTAGATTTATCCTTGATCAAGTTATAATCTGCTAGAGGCCCGCGTTAATTAAAAACGCTTGTGTTCAGTACTCGTATATAAAATTATTACCCAGGGCGAGTCCATGGGATTATTCGAGAAATATATAGATATAGAGTCGGATAATACGCCGGGGCACACTCGTAAAGCTCCGTCTATATTACGACAGCACCTGAGCTCCCTGCAAAATGGGATTTATATCCTCTATACTATGCGTGGAGAACACGAGGGCGCTGAAGGTCTATTGTTGTATAAGGTCTGAATTCTCAGTAATATGAATATAAGGAAGATGGAGGGCTTATGGCAGCCTACAAAGTAATGAGAGTGGTAGTGCAAGAAGTATCTGATCAAGACATAGACGGCTCGGATAGGGTACCGCAGAAATGAAAGAGGGAGGTCTATCTTTTTCTGGATAGCTTTCGCACCGGGTATACAGCGATGATTTGAAGTGACGCAAAAGAAACGCGTAACTAACTCACTAATATGGTCAAATCTAGCTAAAAGGCTCAAACTTGTGGCCGCTTTTCTTTTTGATGCATTGGAAATTTGCTACGACCCAGAGACACTCAGCAACAACGATGCCGAATTGATAGGAAGCGGGCGTCTATGCCATTTCCCTCGGCGTGAATACAAGAAACGTAGTATCGACACGCTGTGTCAGTCGTTGCATTATTATATTTCAATAGAGAATCTGGTAACAACAGCCCAGAAGAATAGTCCAGTAGTTTAGCGTGCTTTTAACCAATGCTTCTAAAACGATCGACGAGTAAAAAATTTGCGCCATTTTTGCAACCTAGTGTACGAAAACGTTAGAATGATAAGTATCTGACAATACTAGACGGTAAGGGAAAGAAATAATGTTGCAATCTAGGAAAGTAAGTTGGAATTGAATAAAAATCTTAGGTTTCCACAGATGATTCTTTCAATGTTACCCGCCATGGGGTTTTGACGGCTGATGTCGCAGACGCCGCGCTTTGTGATGCGCGCGACGTCGAAGACGGTCGTGTTGGCTTCGGTGATGGGGTAGTAGTAGGTTGTTGTGTTGAGGGTGCTGGGGTCGCAGGTTGCAGTGGCTGGGGTGATGAGGGCGAGAGAGGCAGCCAAGGTTGCGAGTGTGACGGACTTCATAGTGATGATTGAGAAAGAACGAGTGGACGATTAAATGAGATGGGGTGGGATAGAGTAGGGTAGGATAGGATGGCGTGCTGTATGTGCGGTTTATACACGCTGAGGGAGACCTATGTATCTTAGATAGTATCATCGGCAGGGGGACCGGGGTTGTTCCTGTGCGTACGTACACTTAGTGTATCTCCTACGCAATCGTATGCAGGGGTGCATGAGCCATGATGAGTAAGCCATAGTTAACCATCAGAGTATGTCAATGCAGTGATTACGAAGCTTGAAGATTAGAGGGATATCGAATTGTGGAACCGATTGATCAGGTTACCAATCCCCGGTCATGCATTCTCGCACATCATTACAGCTACATCATCCCACAAGATATTTCCGAGAACTAGATACATTGCTTCTCACCATAACCAGGAGGAAAAGGGGCCGGTGCAAAGTTGTGTATTTCACAGTCTGACTCGCAATCGGTTTCACATCTATTCGCATGACGGCGAAGGCTCAGTATACCCCGGGCATCCAGGTGATCCGGCCAGGTACAGTACCAATCTAAAAACTCGGGGATCGAGTCAAACCGCGGCTTGCGCCCGTACAGGACTAGAGGAGTAAGGTAGCTCACCGGCTCGGCGTCGAGAAAGACCACCCGCCACCCCCAATCATGGATATTTGGGGCATCAGGGATATTATCCTTGTTCTCATCTGCATCCACCCGACGACGGCAGTAGAGATAGGTACTATACCACTGAGGATATTCATCGACATAGCCGGTGCCAGTGATCACGCCGGCCTTTACTTCCAGATCGTCGACCTCAAGATTGGGAGCAATCAGGGATTTATTAACCAGATCCGAGAGCTCGTCATCCTCCAGATTCTCCCGCACGCGCGCGCACTCTTCCTGGACCAGCTCGTAGTACCACTCGGGCTGTGTCTCGGCCAAGTCCGCCTCATGGACTCCCAAAACCTCAAGCCCGGCCTCAAACGGGGCGATTCCGGCGCGGCGGAAGTCTGGATCCACAACCGCGTGAGCGTATTTAAGAAACACCCCCAGCTCGTGACATTTCGGAATCGGCCCGGGCGCCTCCTCGCCAGTCTCGGCGGCCCACTCCTCTGCCTGCTGCTGGAAGACCTCCTGCAGGGTCTCCAAAAACAGCTCGCGCGCTTTGTCCGTCCGCAGTCGCGGTGGATGGATGCCATCCATTGCAAAGGGAAATGCGTCCGACACTCCGGGGATGTCTTCCAGACGCCGGGTCTGGCGCAGTCGATTTTCTTTCTGTCGTGTTTCGGGATCGGCATCCTCGGACGCCTCGTCCCAGTCCAGCGCATCAAAATGTCGGCAGTACGAGGCCATCTTGCTCATTCGCTGTTTGTCGGTCAACAGCCCCCGGGCTTCGATCTCGTGGATGCGATCCTGGATGAAGGTCCAGTTTGCCGAGGCCATCCGGTCGCGGAATCGGTCTAGAGCCTGCCTCATGCTCTGTTCTGAGTCCACTGGAGGCGGCATTCTTGTAAAGAAACTTGTGGGAAAGCAAGTGGCGTGTAAAGTTGTTCTTTGTTTTCACTAGGAGCCTGCAGGGTAACCAGCACCTCTGCGTGTGCAGCTCGGTGTGCAGGAGTTCCGCAATGCCAGGCCTGGCTATATTCAACCTCCGGGCAAGAGTGTCAATTATACCGCCGGCAGCCGGTGCGGCAATCCTATAATCCGCAATTTGTATCCGGAATATGTGGGGAGCCCATTGCGCCGTTACCATATCGGATAGGCGTATCTTTTCCATCCCCATCACTTCCTTCGTCATTGCCATCAGCCTCATCTGTAATCCCGAAGTAAGTCCCTCATCTCCCATCCCTTCTCATCTCTGTCCTGTCTAACGTTCGCTCACCGACTCAAGCAGGTACATCAAGACGCAATGAGCTCAGGTTCGGTTACGAAACGTGACTCTGGTGCTCACCATCACCATCCCACCCGTCATCGTCATCACCACGGCCACTGAACATGGAGTGAAGGAACAAAACAACTGAGTGATCAGGCCATATGTTCATTTATACTGTAGTGGGGCGACCCCTTACCCAACGTTAGGGTAAAGCCTCCATCAGCCTACTCTGAACAACCATTATGGGCCAATCGGTATAGCACAAAATAATCACTAGCTAGATTTTAGTATTGCATATTGTAGAAATAGACTTTGATAATTTAAAGTTTTTGAGTAATATTCAGTATATATATTCCAGGGATATTTTGATATTGGTTAATAGTAGAGCCTTTCTTTAGTCTATCTGTAGCATTGTACCCAATTTATATATTCAATACTGGTGTTGACTTCTCAGTTTCAGTTATTCAACTTCCGATATAATATAGTCTAAAGGAGTATATAATACCGATTTATAATATATACAGTTTCAGACCCTACCCTATATAAATAAATAGAAGAATCCTTTATAGAGGCCTCTTTATCTTAATATCCTAGATTTATTCTCCATATATCTGCGCTGCATTATCTATTCTTTAATATACTCTCGAATCCTGCGATAACAGTAAAGAATATGCTTTTAATTAGAGATAGAGAACTTGCAAGCTTAATGGTCCTTAATTCTATCATACCCTCTAGCCCTGGGCGTTAAACCGTAATTGAGTCTTGCAAATGAATATTTCAAGTTCTAAGCGATCTCAGAGCAATTTGAGTCAATGTCGTTACCCACATCTTGACCCTTGTAAACCTGATGTGCTTCTTCCGAGTGGAACAATGAAATCTTCTTTGATAGCTTATTTTCATTTTGGTCTGTTTGAATGTTTCACTATACGTAGTTATTCCAACATCATGACCCTAGTATTATGGTTACGACTGAAAGGGCCACACAGTACCTGCACCTTCTCAATAATGGAACGTTCATATCACCTTCCACAATCTGATGGTATTTCGACATGAAACTTCTCAAAATTCTCTTTGGACTTCCACCCGTGACCCAAACAATCATGCCCGGATTCGTTACCCCGATTTTCGTCCGTACCGATTCTTTGAAGTACGACGGCGTTGCTTGTTTTGCTGCCACCCTCTTAGAAAACTTACATAGGGACCATGAAGTTCTAGTATTTTTGGGCATCAGTGCGGAGAATGTCATATCTCTTGCATCCGATAGCCACAGACCTTTGAAATCCGTCAAACTCTCACACAACTTTCTGACCTGGCTCCTGACGGTTAAGATGCCCGGATTCGGTCACGAAATCACCAAGAGCTTATATAAGGCCATAGTCGACAAGCAACTTTTCGCTACGGGTGTATCTTATTGAGCTTCGCCATTCCGTATGTTTTGGGCAGTGGTCCTTGATCTGCTGGCCTCCCTGTATCTAGTATAGCACCCTGCGCGCCAATGAGACTTCTGAAAATATGCTTCTAGTATGTATAATGTATACTACGCGTTGCATTCCCATTGTTTTAAGAGGCAAATGAAGCAAGGAGAAGTTGTATTTATTTTTTCAACGTAGCAAGCAGTAGCTTAAAGTACCCTCTTAATACACAAGCCATGGCGTCGCTTGTGAGAGAGCATGATCCCATCCATTGTCATTGATCCAAATGGCGATGCTCTCCACCTCATCCTTCCCTAACTTGAGATCATTGTACAGATGCTGTGGCTGGAATTAACAAACATTGTTTGCCAGGCATACTTGCAAGAAAGAACCAGAACTGGCAACCTAATCCTTGCGGTTTGGACTTACCGGGAACAAGCCCTCTTCCGGTCTCGGCCCGCATACGGTGCCCTCGGGATTTTCCCAACGGAGATTCTCAGCTACACGCTCATACGAAATCCGGAGAACATAAACAAGGGGTTCATCTTTGAAAAATAACTTCAGCGTGTTCGGCACCTGAAATGCAGTGGAGAGGTGGATGAAACCCGACTGTTGGTCGAGTGCACTGACGGGGAGTTGCTCTGGGAGCGGTTCTCGGACGGGCGCTGTGGACGGCACAAGTTTATAGACATAATAAGGCGTTTTGTCCGTCATTTCTCTGGTTAAGCGTTTGACTCGCAAGTTCAGAACGGCAGGTGAAACGTAGATGGATAGTAGTATGTTGTTTTACCCTGTAAGAATGAATACTGGGGACTGGCCGGCGATCTAAAATGATAAGATTGGGAGTTGGTGGAACCGCAGTGATTTAGTCAGTCTTACCTAAGTGTAGGGTGATTAACTAACTAACTCACCACTTCCCAAGGTTTGATTATAGCATTTACGGAGTAAACCCCTCCTGAGTCACCTGAGTGCTATCAATCCCTGGATTAATTGGTGATTGAATTTGGAGTGATATTGGCTAGGGCAATTAGGTGCTCCTGGTAACATATAGGATAATTGCAAAGTGCTCCGCGCTCCGCAAGGAAGTACCTTGGGCATATTATATACCAAGCCGTGCTAAGTTGCCCACGACCCCTGGAAAATCATCGATTTACCATGTGTATACTGTTGTAGCACAGTTTTACTTCGTTCTAGTATGTGTCGTCCAGACATTTGGGAGCGCTGGATCCTATTTGGAGCACATTGTACCTACATATAGATTGTGTGTAATTTGCAAGCTTGTGTCCTATCATACAAAATCCCATCTTTACTCCGTATTCTGTACAGATTTAATTATAACAGAGCTCAGGTTGAGTTACGATCTGACATGTGACGAGTCCTGCCCACGTTCATTGTCCTTCCTGCACGGTTGAAAAAATGCCGACGGTGGGTCAGTGATGGGCTGGCAGGAAGCATGGCTCCATGATAGACTCGTCACTCACAGGTGTACATAGCCTTGTACAGTTTAGAACTTGGCCTGTATTCAATTAAGCGTCCTTACTATGTGCATCAAGAGAAACGTACTATTCGAGTCGGTACTTATACTACTAACCAGATCATTCCTTCGATTTGTATTTTCTTTTTTTTTCGTATCTGAAGGGCCAGACGGTGGCACAGGAGCCGATCAGTGGCTAGGATGATCGACGTCACCAGATAGGAAACTGTGGCGTATCACCCTGGAGCGCCAACCATACCCGATCGGGAGATTTGTTTTCGTCGCTGGGGCTGGGAAGCACTTTCCACTTGGTTTACTTTCCCTCACTCCCCGCTTCTCCATCACCACCACCATCAATCGTCAGTTCAATTATTGACCTTGCGACAAATACTAAATTTAGTGGGAAGTCGCGAAGTTTGTCGGGTTATTAATACCTGCGAGTCTAAACCCACGTTTCTTGGGCGGACTTCGCATTCTCTTTCTCTTTTTCCGATTGCCTTCGAATCAGGTACCGTCAGGAACGCAGAGAAATCCATCCCGTTTCTATATCAACCCGGTTCCCCTTCCCAATTCTTTCCGTTCCCACGGGGCAATGCTGTTCCTCCCTTGAATTAGCATTCCATCTCATTTAACTTAACAGTTGATCACTCGGCCAGATTGCTGCTTCGGTGGAGAGGCAGGGATGCGGCCAATTGAAGCCGAGACTGCTCTATTTTCTTTCGGTTTTGCATTCTTCAGTACGAAGCGGTACTAGTGATGTCAAGCCACTCAGCCTCTCTCCGACGTACCCAGACGGATTTTCCAACACAAACATCGAGTCCACTTCGCCATGGCTCAACCGCATCCACAAATTCGTCTATATACTCAATATCAACCGATTCGCTAGCTCCCAGTCGCACAAGTACAGTGTCCTCCACGGGATCCATGGGCTCCACACCCAGCTTTGGACATAAACGTGGAAAGAGTGAAGCAAACACCATGAGTACCGACAGATTTAAGGCTGATTCGAGCCGTTGGTCAAACGCCGGGACAACATACGAAAGTGTCCGCCGCTCGCTACGGCCGCTCTCTCAAGCACCAAACGGTTCTACCCCCGCTGTTAAGCAAGTCGCCTACGGCCATTCGAGAAACCGGACGATAGACAATCCTCAGTTTTGGAAAGAGAACCGCCCTCAAACACCTGAGCGCCGCAATGGTTATCATGGAGAAAAGGAATCGCTGAAGGAGATTGAGTCGCATGATGTGTATGCACCTCCATCTCCCAGGTCGCCGCACGATTTCAGTCCTCTTGCTGTTTCGCCCCAAACACGGTCCCCAATCAAGACACAGCATTCACATAGCTTGTCCACACCACAACCACCTCCATTAACCACCACACTGTCTACGCCGGAACTAGAAACCTTTCAAAAGTCGTCGACTGGACATTTGCGCACATTATCCAAAATTGCACAATCGGGCGAGACGGAGGAGTTCGCCTTAGACAGCCCTTCCGTGGTGGGCCTGCTGGGACGACGGCGCTTGAAGCGTACTGATTCAGTGGCCGGCTCTGGCGGCGGGAATATTAATCGAAGGAAAAATGCATCATCATGGGCGGCCGGAAACTGGATGGACAAGCAGCGACAATTCTTACAGGCCTATGAATATTTATGTCATATCGGAGAAGCCAAAGAGTGGATTGAAGAAGTCATTCACAAGCAAATCCCGCCCATTGTTCAACTGGAAGAAGCCCTCCGAGATGGAGTAACGCTCGCAGAAGTGGTTCAAGCAATGTACCCGAACCGCACGCTACGAATTTTCAGACATCCCAAGCTGCAGTATCGTCATTCCGATAATATAGCACTATTCTTCCGACTCTTAGACGAAGTCGAACTCCCGGAGCTTTTCAGATTTGAGCTGATTGATCTCTACGAAAAGAAGAATATCCCCAAGGTCATTCACTGTGTCCACGCACTATCATGGTTGTTGTTCAAAAAGGGCCTTGTTGACTTCCGGATGGGCAACCTCGTTGGACAGTTGGAGTTCGAGCATCATGAGCTTGAACAGACGCAGAAGGGTCTCGATAAGGCAGGAGTCAGCATGCCTAGCTTTAGCGGCATGGCCGCGAATTTTGGGGCCGAGCCAGAACCTGAACCTGAGCCCGAGCCCGAATCTGAGGAAGATCGAATTGAGCGGGAGTTGCATGAAAATGAAGCTTCGATTGCCGACTTCCAAGCTCAGATTAAAGGCGCTATGCTGCGACTGAAGCTGGGAAATCTAATGAATGGCCTGTGGGATTTCGAGCCTCTACTTGTCGATTTGCAGTCAAGGATAAGAGGAGATTGGACCCGCCAAATCGTTCAATATCGCCTGGATATGCGTGCGTTTACCGTGAATCTTCAAGCAATCTGTCGAGGCTTTATTGTACGATCCCGCCAGGAATATGACATGGAAAGTTACCGGGCCCAGGAGCACGGTATACTACAGCTGCAGACACTGATAAGAGGCTCCAAAGCGAGGGCCCAGGTGCAATATCTTCAAGGCCAAATGCGAAAGGAAGAATCGGGGATTAAAGAGATACAAGCTGCCATAAGAGGAGCCTTGCAACGCAAGGCTGTTAGCGCTCTCTACTACGACACCAGAGATGCAGAGGATCATGTTCGGCTATTACAGGCTGCCATCCGCGGCGCCTTGCAACGCAAGTCTATTAGTGCTCTTTATTACGATATCAGAGGCGCAGAGGACCAAGTTCGGTTATTGCAGAGCACCATCCGGGGTGACCTACTGCGCAGCAAGCTTTCAAAGCAATGCGAAGAGACAAAATCTGCTGAAGATGCCATTAGAGACCTCCAGTCTCTCATTCGAGGCTCTTTCTTACGACAGCAGATGAATGCACAATATGCTGCTATGGACAGCGTTCAAGAAAATGTGGCATTGCTGCAGGCAGCGATTCGAGGCTCGCTGGCTCGGAAGTCTTTATCTCAAGTGAGAGACTCGCTTGCTCAAGAGGCCCCTTCAATTATAGCTGTTCAATCAGGGGCAAGAGCCTTGGCAGTGAGAAAGCAGCAGTCACGGCTTGCAGAAGCCCTCGGAAAAGCAGAAGATCGATTTATCGCGTTGCAAGCCATGGCTCGTGGCAACGCCGTAAGGGAACAGCTTGATTCTCTGCGTGAGGAGTTGAGGGAGCATGTACCATTGCTTATCAGTCTCCAAAGCATATTCCGAGGGAGAGCTACTCGGTCCTTCTTGGACTCCCAACGGAAGGAACTGAGTGATGAGGAAGCGTCAATCCTTGAATTGCAGTCGAGGGCCAGGGGTTCTCTTGTGAGAAGACGCCTGGAAGCTGATGCTGAAGCACTGCAGGCAGAGGAACCTACGATTATCAACCTGCAGGCCCTCGCCCGAGCTGCAGTTCTGCGAATTGAGGTTGGTGGTATACTTGAGCAACTCGATGACTGCGAGGATGAAGTCAGCCAGCTACAGGCACACATAAGAGCGATGCTTGTTCGAGTAGAGGTCGGACAATCATTGGCCGATCTCGCTGCCGAAGAAGATGTCATTACAGATCTCCAGTCACACATACGGGGACACATGATACGATCAAAATTCGAGGAGAAGCGTCGATACTACCGAGAGAACATGGAAAAGGTCATCAAGGCCCAAAGCTTTGTGCGAGGTAGGATTCAAGGTCAGGCATACAAGAGTCTCACAACTGGGAAAAACCCACCCGTTGGAACAGTCAAAGGCTTTGTACATCTGCTAAACGATAGCGAATTCGATTTCGACGAAGAGATTGAATTCGAGCGGATGAGGAAGCTGGTAGTTCAGCAAGTTCGTCAGAATGAACTGGCAGAACAATATATCAGCCAGCTTGACATCAAGATTGCTCTCTTAGTAAAAAACAAAATTACATTAGATGAGGTCATCAAGCACCAGAAGCACTTTGGCGGTCATGTTGGAAGTCTGTTACCGAACAGAGAAATCGCGTCAAAGGACCCCTTCGATCTGAAAGCCTTGAACAAAACATCGAGAAGGAAACTAGAGCAGTATCAAGTCTTTTTCTTCCTTCTGCAGACGCAGTCTCAGTACCTTGCCAAACTTTTCCGAAGGCTGCGTGAGCTCAATACATCAGAAAAGGAATATGAGAGGATTCGACACTTGATGATGGGTCTCTTTGGGTATTCTCAAAAGAGGCGCGAGGAGTACTACTTGATCAAGCTGCTGGCTCGCTCTGCACGTGAAGAAATTGAAAGTTTTGACTCCATCCACGATTATTTACGCTGCAACTCTTTCTGGACTAAGCTCTTCGCCTCGTACATGAAGTCTCCACGTGACAGAAAGTTCATGCGCGATGTATTAGGTACTGTTGTGAAAGAGAACATTATTGACAACCGCGACTTGGACTTGGAAAGTGATCCTATACAGATCTATCGCTCGGCCATCAACAACGAAGAGCTCCGCACTGGTAAACAAAGTCGTCGGCGCTTGGACATCCCGCGTGAAGAAGCAATCAGGGATCCTGAGACAAGGGCAACCTTTATCCAACATTTACAAGATCTCCGCGACATTGCCGATCAATTCTTCACAGCGTTTGAGGAACTTCTATACCGTATGCCTTTTGGAATTCGGTATATCGCGAAGGAGATGTACGAAAGCCTCCAGTCCCGGTTTGCTGGAGATGACCTAGGCTTCATCCTTCAGACAACCGGTCATTGGGTGTGGAAGAATTACTTCCAGCCGGCGCTTATGGAGCCCGAAAAGTACGGAGTTGTTGATCGTGGCCTGACGCAGGAGCAAAAGCGAAACCTCTCTGAAATCGCGAAGGTGATTGCGCAGGTGGCATCAGGGAGACTTTTCGGCGCCGAGAATGTTTATCTTCAGCCTTTGAATAGCTACATTGGTGATTCGATCCAACGTCTTGGCCACATTTGGGGCGGCAGTAAGTAATCGATCCCTCTAGTTCGATGTCCTAGAAGCTAACTATTACGTAGTGATCTCAGTACAAGACGCCGAAGCTTATTTTGATATTGATGAATTCAATGATCTCTACGCTAAAACGAAGCCGACATTATACATCAAGTTATCCGATATCTTCTCTATTCATCAACTTGTGGCATCGGAAGTACACTATATTTGCCCGAACCCCGATGACATTCTAAAGGAGGTCATCCGCGATCTCGGAAACGTTAAATCCAATGAAAATGAATTGATGAGTGTCAACACCTCAGAGATCAGCCTCACTCTGAACCCCAAGCTTGCACAGGTTGAAGGTAGGAAACCGCCTCCGCCAATTGTCCCAAGGCTAGCTAGTACTAATGAGATGAATGTAGATCCGGAGGCTGATGTGAAAGCGTTATTTATGGAAACAAAACGATGCATCCTCTATATCATACGGGTTCAGTCAGGCGCTAACTTGATGGAAATTATGGTCAAGCCCCCGACTGAGGAAGACGAAGGAAAGTGGATGACATTGGTCCGGGAAGAACTGGGTGCGAACAACACGAGAAGAAGCGCTTACTCTGAGGCACATACGATGGTGGATATTGCGTCCATGAATTATTCGGAGTTGAAGCGGACTGCGCTCGAAAACATCCTTCAGCTTGAACAAACTGGGAAGATCCGTCGAGACAACCACTATCAGGATTTGTTAAATGCCATCGCCATCGATATTCGAACCAAGCATCGCCGCAGAATTCAGCGAGAGAGAGAACTGGAAAGTGCTCGTTCAACACTGGCCCGCCTCAATGATCAAGCCGCCTGGTTAGAGCAGCAGTTCAAGACATATAATGACTACATTGAGCAGGCAATGGTGACATTGCAGAACAAAAAGGGGAAGAAACGATTCCTCTTGCCATTTACGAAGCAGTGGGATCACCAACGCGAGCTCCAGAAATCAGGAAAGGTGTTCAAGTTTGGTTCCTACAAGTACTCGGCTCGTAACTTGGCCGACAAGGGTGTTTTAGTTCACTGGAAGGGCTATACAGAACGTCAGTGGGACCGAGTCGACCTGACAATTTCCAGCAACGAAGTTGGGGTGTTCACTCTTGATGGCAGTAGCGGCCCAATGATGGTCCCTGGAGCGAATGCGCAGGTGCCACTGGATGACTTGCTGCAAGCCCAGTTCAACAATATGCAGTTCCTCGACTTCTTTGACGGGCAGCTACGAGTCAATGTCAACCTTTTCCTGCATTTGATCATGAGGAAGTTTTATAACGAATGATCCCCATGTAGGGTGGTGCATTCCTTTTTGGTTTCTATTCCATTGTCCACTTTCTTTTTCCTTTTTCCTACTCTTCTGGTTTTACCTATGATATCCCCTTTCCTATTGATGAAATGTCACGCATGAAAAGGAAACGGCACATTCGGCATGACGTATATAGAAAGCACAACATGCAGGATCCAAGCCAATTCTCACTGTGTTATGTTCCTTCGATGATAACCCGTTGTTTTGTTGTCGTTATGCACTGACTTTCTTGAGATGATTACCCTCTACATTTCTACACGTTACCCCTGTTATGATGATTATGCAGACGATTTTATGTATGTATTTGAGTAGTGTTTAGTACATGACGATATGTGTGTTTCGATAGCAAATACTATCACCAGTAGATACTTATCTAAGAGGCGCCCGTCCGTTAATCAAGCTGTAACAAATCCTATGATGTCGACGTCTTGCTTTGTCCTGGAGTTCAGGGGCTGCCACGTGACCCGGCGGTTGGCTTGGAGCCCAACGGCGTTGCCAGGTGGATTGATTCCTCGACTCCCGCATCGTCCAACCCTCTACGAATTCCCGACTTTTGTCTCTCTCTATATTGTTGATCCGATAAATAGTGCGCAAGATTGCACTAGTGCTGATTGCGTTATGGATCTCTCCAATCTCAAGGAGCAAGTCAGCAACCTGACCTTGTATGACCTCAAGGCGGGAGTCCGCAAGGTCCAGAATGGTATGTCCCGCATCATGCCCCCGATTAAATTGATATACGTGCCTCCCACCGCGCGAATATGACACTGCATTAAATATACTGACAGTCATAGCTGTCATGAATTATACTGAGATGGAGGCCAAGGTATGTGCCACCATTCCCAAATTCCGTCCTCTGCCGATCTCTATAGAACTATACATACATGCATACGGAATGGCTTTCAACTACAGTCGCTTATGCTCAGTAGGTCCGAGAAGCCACAAACAATGAGCCTTGGGGTGCCTCAACCACATTGATGCAAGAAATTGCCAACGGAACTCACAGCTAGTCAGTCATTAACTTGTTCGTTCATACAATTACCCGGTTGCTAACCAATATACTGGGGGGTGCAGCCAGCTACTCAATGAAATCATGCCGATGATCTACAGACGCTTTACAGACAAGACTGCAGAGGAGTGGCGACAGATCTATAAGGTAGGACTTGCCGGACCAGTTTGTTTTCTACAGGAGGTATCTAATCTGGCAATCCTTGAACCTGCAGGCACTTCAGCTTTTGGAGTTCTTAGTCAAGAACGGATCAGAACGAGTTGTTGACGATGCGCGATCTCACATGTCCCTTCTACGAATGCTTCGCCAATTCCACTTCATCGATCAGAATGGGAAAGATCAAGGTATTAATGTGCGCAACCGATCGTCAGAGTTGGTGAAGCTTCTTGGCGATGTGGATCAGATTCGTGCAGAGAGAAAGAAGGCCAAAACTAATCGCAATAAGTTTGGTGGCTTTGAGGGTGGATCCCATATGGGAGGAGGAATGTCAAACTCCAGGTACGGGGGCTTTGGAAGTGACAGCATGTCGTTTGGCGGGTACAGCGGGGGTGTCTACGGTGATGGAGGTGGGTTCGGTGGCAACACAAGCGACTTCCAGGATACCGGGCGACGAGGCAACCGATTTGAAGAATACGATGAATATGACGAAGCAGATGCTAGCCCGCCGCCACGACGTGCAGCAAGCCCGCCCCGTGCCCGATCGACAAAGCAGCCGGAGCCGCCGAAACCCAAGGCACCCGAGCCGGACCTTTTTGACTTTGGAGAGGAAGAGGTGGCCCCAACGGCTTCTACCAGTGCCGGCAAGAAGCCTGCAGGCAGTAATGGCCTAGATGTGCTCGATTCCAAACCCATGGACGACGACGACTTCGATGATTTCCAGTCTGCGACTCCCGCTCCCGCTCCAGCGGCATCGAACCAATTCTCTATTCTTCCACCAGCGAACACTGTGAGCACTACCTCAAGCACCCAGTTTGCTGCGCCGAAGCCGGTGTCCGCTACGCAGGGAACCAATTTGAACGGTCTTGTTGGGTTTACGTCGATGACCCCGACTCCAACTTCGAGTACAATGGCATCCCCAACACTGTCGCAGAGCTCTATGGTGCAGCCACAGCAACAGAAGCCGGCACAACCGAAGCCAACAGGATTCCAGGCCGCAACACCGAACTACTTCACCTCTGTTTCCGTCATGCAGCCTCAGGCGGGAGTGTCTAACCACCGGCCAGGCATGGCATCCACCTCATCTTTTACATCTGCCACGTCGGGCGCGCCTGCAGCAGCTAAACCTGCCGCATCCAAGTCCTCGAATGGCGACGCTTTCGGATCTCTATGGTCGACCGCCAGTGCCGGTGCTGGGCTGCAGAAATCGAATGCAAATGCAAGCAAAGGGCCTAACTTGGCAAGCATGGCCAAGGAGAAGGCGAGTGCGGGCATCTGGGGGGCGCCCGCAGCGTCCAGCTTTGCATCGCCGTCTCCTTCTCAACCCTCTCAGCAAGGGACCAAGACCAGCAGCTCCGGGCTGGATGACTTACTGGGCTAATCTGTCTGTGCGCTTATACTGTTTTTTCAAGTTAAATTTCTTTTGTTCAGAGCAATATCTGCAATATTATTGCGATTTCACTGTTCTTCATTCCCATTTTAAGCAACGAATCATTGGTAGCAGACGATGCCAGACCATTCCTCCTCGATCTCATGTTTCAAGTTCTGTACATCCGGATGGTCACGATTGCTCTTTTATTCTTTGCATGGTGTCGAGGCTTGGGAAAATATTGATCTTTTTTGTTATCAGGACCCTGTCAGACCAAGGGTTATTACTAAAAGAAACTTCCTACACGATGAAGTAATGTTTCCCGGCTGTTAGATGGGCGTTCTATCTCAGCCCAACGACGGCCTCTTTCCAGCAAGGCCACTTGAATAAAATGCGCTGGATGAGGCAAAAGGGGAAGGAAGGAAAGTTTAACAGAGTAAAGCCTTTTCGTAAAAATGCAAAATTCCATCAATCCCTCGGAAAATACTCCCTGCCCTTAATTTTCAGCCAAGGGATGATCATAATGACAGTCAAGACTCAACCCGCCCCGACAATCCTCGTATTCATCCTGCCCACCCTCGATGATCAGCACGCGCTAAGACACCAACGACCAGCCAGCACGGTGGAGAATGCGATTGGGATCTCTGTCGATCCGTGCTTTGGGTATTGCAATCATGGAGACCATCCCAGGGTCTAGCCAATTATTGGGGTGGCCGAGACCACTAACCCTAAGGCTAAGATTTCCTTGGGGTCGTATCTTGCGAGTCATATTCACTTTGTTCTTGAAGGGTTTAGGCTGAGGCTACAATTGTCTGGTAGTCTACCGGGTTTTTACGAGAAGGTTAAAGTGTGTGTGGGTGTGTTTGGGTTGCAGCCTCTCTCGTGTCATGTCAACTACCCATCCGTATATGAAGAACTCTATCGGCGCCTGTTAAGGGGCTTTTCTTCGAGTCCTTCTCTCCTCCTTTCATCTTCACATCGATACAAAACTTGACTCGATATAGTTCGAATCCCCATAATATGTACATCGATACCCTTTTCCCAGACGGGCTCTATCACCCTCTTCTCCCCCGGGCAACCTACGCTTCCTGCTGGGGAGGCCTAGGACAAGGAGAATGTCGCGGCCAATCTGACTGTATTGCCTCCCTCCCTCCCCCTTTAAACTCTAGATATTCCTGCGGAGTGTGTCAGAAGCTAAATCTACCTCAGGCAAAGGACTCGTGTACACAAGTCAATGCTCCGATAACAAAGGCGACGATGTATGGCCCTCCATCAAATTCCACCCCCACAGAGAGGAAGCATCCAACATACTAACAGAAAAGACAACATAGTGCTGTCTCCAACGTCGCTGCACAGTCCCCGAAGGGACGGGTTACTGTCGAGACACCAATAACCAGACCTGTGATGGGGGCAACTACTTCTCCGGATCGGCTGTACATCTCCCTCTTTTCTCCCTACATGCCATTCCTCCGTCTATCCCCTTAGCAGACGATACTAACAATGACGACAGCCCAACTGGCCATGTCCGGGGATAAGCTCCATCCAATGCTGCGTGACATACGAGAACATGTCAAACGGGACCTCCACGGTTTCCTCTACCTCCTCCACCACATCTCCAACTTCGACATCAAACTCCACTTCCACTTCCACAACACTGTCTGTCTCGTCGCCGACCACGTCAGCGACAGCACCAGCTACAGAGTCAAAACAAGGACTCTCGGGATCTCAGATAGGAGGGATAGTCGGCGGTGTTGTTGGCGCGGCGTTCCTGCTCGGGGTTATCGCGCTGTTTCTTTTCTTTCGTCGGCGGACGGGCAAGAGAGATCTTGCACAGGAGGGTCCGGATGCTCAGGGACCTGCTTCGGAGGCGGGTAAGCCGGTGGTGGAGGAGGACGTGGGGAAGGACGTGCCGATGCTTGAGGGGACTATGAGGCAGGAGATGGATGCGCAGGGCGGGGCGGCGTTGCATGAGATGGAAGGGGCCAGTGGACGGGGGGTAGTTGGGGTCGGTGGTGAGAAGGGGGCTGGTCTGTCGGAGTTGGAGGGACAGAGGACGGTTGTTGCTGAGTTGGATGGAGCGTCTGTTGTTCGGGGTTCTGGTGGGTGAATTGAGATGGTTTTTGGAGGCGAGGCGGAGTGCGTTTGACGTGTGTATATATCCCTCTTCTTCTTCTTCTTCTTCTTCTTCTTCTTCTTCTTCTTCTTTCTTTTCTTTTCTGTATCTATAGCATCTTATTAATGGAAGAGGCCGGGCGCTTGCTTAATGACATATGTGGGTGTGTATGAGTGTATACTGGGGTGGTTCATGCCGGGTAGGAGAATATTCTGGCCGCTAAAATTCTCTCTCCGTTTGAAGAAGGGTTCAAAACAGGCCAGGATACGGAACGTTATATATGAAGCTCTAACATACAGTGCCAATTCATTCATTCAAGTAGCCTCCTTCAATCGTTGGGATCTGTTCAGTTGAGACGGAGGAACATACAAGAATGAAAGTAGAGATCAGTAGCAATATGAAGCATCATTAGTTCTTCCACATATACTATACTGGGTTCTCATTCCCGTCCTGAAACATAATCAGACGATGTGTCAAATCTAATGCATTATGCGACGCCGACGCTGAAAAATACAAAGCATAAACATATTTACAAACCACAGAAACCTAGAGTCTGATGTGATGCTACGTTGCCGGCACGCGACGCCAGCAATGTCTTCTCGCAAGACAGCGATCAGAATATGCATGCACACTCCACCCCTACCATATAACCGGCTCAGCGGGTCGTTCCGCTGTTATCATGTAGAATTGAAAGTTCCAGCCTGGGAACCGAGAAAGCAAAGAAATCGATGGGTTTTCGTGCCGTAGCTCAACCGTTTTGAAACACTCAAGCAAGCACAGAAGGCATTCGCCCGGAAAAGATCCAGAAGATCCAGGGGATGATGGGGCGATGGCTTGACTCTACCAACTCCGCATGACAGGTCTTATTATGAGTTCCAGCGTATCCCCACAGAAATGGACACATCACGTCTTCATCGGAACGGCGACATGCTGTCCATCCTGCTGTGTTTTCTCCATAGTTTGCTTCACCGTATCAACCCCTTGTTCGTTGTCCTCCTTCTTCTCGCCATTAGCAACATAGCTCGGGTGGTCGTCCCGAGTTGGTGCCATCTCCTGGTGGTATTCGGTTGAATCGTGGGTAGGGTGAGTGTCATCCAATAATTCAGAGTCCGGATCACCGTTCAACGATGTCAGTCCCCCTTCAATGTCCCGGAGCAGCCGAACGAATTCTTCCGGCACCAATCCACTTTCCCCGGTCCGCGGGTCTTCCGCAACGAGCCAACCTTGGCCATGCCTATAAGAAACGAAGATTACCTGGCCCTCTGTCAGGGGAAGTTCGTTTTCGTGTTCCCTAGTGAAGTCGAAAAGTGCAACCGCCTTTCCGTGCATTTCTTCATCCGGACATCCTACGGCAAACTGGAAGTCGCCATTGTACCGATCACCAGCATACCCATCCTCCGATTCGTATTCCACGTCAGGGGCATAGCTTGCATAGTTCCCATATGTCCCCGCATATGAGTATCGGCTCTCATTTACCGGGTATGTGACATACTCGCCGCCAGGGCCGTCGTCTATTTCATCCTCGTCATTCACATAGTATGTCTCGCTACCGTCCGCATTTGTACTGACATACATCCCGCGGTCAGTATCTCCCAAATAACATGTGGCCTCTTGGCGACTCGGGCTCCTCTTTCGCCCACCATTCAGATCCGTGCCCGTGGACTTGTTCTTCCGGTGGCGAGGTGCAGAAAACACCGGACTGTGGAGATCTTCATCCTCGCTATATGGCGGGCCGTCACCGAACGACATCGCAGGAAGTTGTTGGTGCCCGTAGCTGTGGTCGGTGCTCCATGGCCCAGTTGACCACTGTCCCCGCGAACTATCCCACGGAGCCGGAGGGTCGGACAGGCGTCGCTGCTCACTCACCGGGGTTGACACCCCGGACGCACGTGGTGGCAATGGACCGTAGTGTAGAGGATGGATTGACGGGTATGCGAAATCTCGCACTAGAGCATACGGCAAGCTGGAATGAAAGACGGGGAAAACATGCGAACCGGGACGCGACCGGTTTTGAGAGGCTAGGGAAACGCTGGAGAGCGTGGAAAGACGGTCTTTCGCATACGAAGATGAGCGTTGGCGAATGGGTCGCTTGACAGTGGCGTCCGTGACAATGGGAGGCAAGACCGCTAAGTTGGACGCAGAGTCATCCTGCTGTGACGGAGGTGGCAATGCCGTAGAAGTCATGGTTGTGGTCATGGATCTGGTCGGGAAAGAACCAGCGCTGAGAACAATTGTGTCAGAGATTCAAGATGGGGTAAGAGAATTCGGATGTGATCGCTAGGGCAAATTTCGAAACATTTACACCCTAGTTTGGCATTGCGATCGTCCACCCGCGACTCTACTATAACTCGGGACAGAAGAAGAATGCCTGTTGTCAACAAGCAGACGAAAGATTATCTTCACCAAATGAAGGGATGAGCCAGAGGAACGGCAACAAAGGGAGCATGCGACTCGGAGGGGCAATGGTGAACTCCTTGCGTGCAAGCACGATCCGGGCTGGTGTTGCTATACTGTGGAGGCTGTGCTGAAGAGGGCTATACCGGGACACCGAGACAAGAGACACAGAAGTGATCGTGGACACCAAGCGCGATGCGGGCTCAATGGGGTCTGTTGAAACACGCCTACAAGAACTGACAATCGGCGGCAGGTGAGAGCGCGGCTATTGATCATGAACCACCTCGGTATGGTTCGAAGGGTAACGTTCCGTTCGATGGTAAAATAGAAATTAAAGGAAACCTCCGAATCAGCGACAGGATTCGAGAGAGGGGGTCAGTAATATGGTGACCAATAACCAGTGGGTGCTGCAAAATATGCAGTTTCGAGCGTTTCGTCCCGCGCTTGCTGGTCGAGAGTAAAATGGGGATTCTAATTATAGCAGCAGAGCAAAGCGCCGCTGTCAGTGATGGCAACTATGGACGAAATATCTATGGCGCAAACTGAATAAGGGAGCGTTAACGAGGAAAATTAAAAGTGTGCAAAGGAGTATGTGCCTGGCAAGACCTGCAAAACTGGATAGGATAAGAAATTGGACGGTGGAGGGACCCAGCGTAGGAGAGGCTTGTCGGAGATTACTTACTCTTGAAGACTGGCCTTGAAGCGTTAAGGATCAACGAGGCGCAGTCGGCTGCGTTGTGGAGTTCTGCTGCCACTGGGAGATTAAAATTATTCGCTCACCAGAGCACCGGCAGACGCAGGGAAATAGCTGCAGGGCAAACAAGCAATTCGGCCGAGGATCTGAACAGCTCAACAGGACGTCTGGATCCCAATTGTAATCGCAATGCCCATGGGCAACAGCTTTGAGGCTTAGAGTTATTTTCTCTTCGATGCGGGCACGTGCACGTGACACCCGCTTAGCGTGTTTCAGAGTCAATTGCCTTGAACCATACCTGATTGGTCCTGGAATGCCTCAGGTCCATACTATGGACATACAGGACATACATTCACCAACCTCCTCGCTTCGATATTTGAGTGGCTATCACCACCTTACCTTTGAAGACAAGAGAAAGTAAGGGAACGGCTTTCATCTTTTCTTTTCTATGGCTGGGGAGCCTTTTCCTTCTAAAGCCACGAGCAAGTTTTATTTTCCAAAGCAGGTTTCAGTTATATTGCAAACCAACCGATGAAAAGAACTATTGTATGTCAAAGACGAGAATAATTAAAACAGATACCATAGCATTCCAAAGTCTCTAATAGGTCAGGCCTGCCCGACCGGGTCTTGAACACAAAATACTTTGTCTATATTCTATGTTTCACACCCATCGCTCGCCCAAAGGACCAAAATCAGCCAACCACCAGCAGAGGCTGAAATTCCAAACCAAGCCGCAAATATCCAAATGCAAGGGACATTTTCTGCATCCACCTTCACTAGGGGCTCGCACTAGCGGAACAGCCAGGAAAGACGGTCTTCATCATTGTCACGAAGGATGTTACTGTTGCTACTCTCTGTGGCGCCATTGGGTCTTGGGCAAGCGACGTAGGAGTCGCTGCCACGGTAGGTGAAGACGAAGAGGTGCTAGATCTGATGACTGCTCGCGAAGAGCTGGACGCTGCGGGCCCATGACCGCTGAGTGCCGTCGGGACTCCAACTATTGGTGAGCTTTGCGCAGAGCCAGAAGAAGCGCCAGCACCAAAGATGTCCGCAAGCTGGGCTGGGATGGCAGCGTTATTCAAGGATTGATCATTGACATAACTTGCTGCCACATGCGACTGAGCCCCTGCATTAGCTACCACATCAACATCAATGCAGGATGTATATATTTCCTGCTTTCCTTTGGGCAAGTTCGGGTCTACGTCAGGATGTGTTGGCCAGTCCCACACCCAATAAAGAGTGTATGGCTTCCCGGGTGGTGCATTGGATGGCAACGCAATGTCTGACTGACACCATAAATTGACACCCATTAACTGATCTGCGGTATGAGGGAATTTCGATTGGCGTTGCTTTGAAATACTGTCGCCGTTGACCTGATAGCAGCGGCCGTCGTCGAAGTTTCGTGTTGCCAGGAGCACGCCACGTTTGTCGCCTCCGGTACCCTCTTTATTCCATACCTTGTGCACGTCCATGATCTTCTCATCTTCTTTTGGTTTTGTTGTTCCGTATACGTATACTGTCCCACGATTCTCAGGCTTTCCCGGCTGATTCCCGGGTTGTGTGACATGGCCGTTTTCCTGGTACCGGAGAGCAATGGCAGCGCCAGCGCTTGCCTGCAGCCTTGGACTCCCTTCAGACTGTACTTGCTGCTGTTGGGTATTCTTACACAGCAAATCAGTTGGAAGTAGCTCATTGCGACCCTCTGGGACCAAATATTGCATCTTAGTGTCGCTGTATCCAGGGTCAGAGCGAAGTACGTTCCTTCTTGAATACCCCGGAGAGCCGACAAAGGTGCCATTCGGTGCGATAACCATGAGCTGCTCAACCCATGAGTGGGCGACGACCGTTGAGGTCAGGAAGAGGAGAGAAAGCAGCCCCAGGCTGCTTCTCCAGGTACTGAGCCTGA